ATATATATATTTAAGAAGCAATTTTAGCGCAAATTTTGCTCCTTCTTTATCTCTCTCAACGGTATCGATCATCAAAGATATTGTTGAAGGAACATGTGTATACGTACACCTCATTGTCAAATTTGTTTGCGCCCTACGAGCCAGCGACAACAATGCATTAATAGATCTTAAAAACTCAATTTTAATCTAAAGAAAAAATTACATAGCAATGATCTTCCTTGAACGTTATATATGTATTTATATTTCTATATAAGTAGTGTACTTAGTCAGCTGTACATTTGGTTTTGCTTTTCTTTTTTTTTGTTTGATATCGCAATTTAGCCTACCTGCTTGAGTTCAATCTCGGTAGCATCAATGTTGCACACGTGCAACAGTTCCTTTCATGAGAGAGGGCGTAGGAGCTGTACCTGTCAGTCAGGTGCAGTTTAAAACGAAGTGTTTGGACTGTACAAAGCTCAAGACGTCGGCTGTCTGCGTGAGATACAAGAGATCTCCAAAGGATAGGTTCGGCAAAAACCGTACGAGCCCGACGCATGTTAATTAGATGCAGGTGCTAGAGGACTTGCTTATAAAAAGGTGCAAAGCATGCGTTAACAGTTCTGGTAAGATCGCCTGAGCAGTGAAGTTGCGGAGCTATTTTGTTAAGCTGCTTTATTACGTTGTAATTTCTACAATTTCAATCTTGACCGAAGGTTAGTGTTTTGTCAATATTGCGCCTTTGTCATATATTTAACAGTGTCTCTGTAATTTTTAGTTTCGGTGTCCTTTTGCCTCTATTGATCTTTCTTTCGTTAAGTCTTTTCCTTTTATTTTAGTGCTCTAAATCTTGTTTTCTGAATTTTTCTCTTTAATAAAGTGCTATTAACTAGCAGACTCCCAAACAGTTAAAGTATTGCATCCAGGGACCTTTGAATAGTAATTCAGTGTCAAGGATTTTTAGTCGCAATAATTATTTTGCAGTAACATACATGTTTTACTGGCCTAGATAAGATGTTAGATTGGAAAATATGTTATACTTTAAATTTTACTGTATTTTTTCTCAATGAAAATAAAAATTTTTATTGGCGAAGATAAAAAGCTCAAAAAGCTGAAGTTTTTGTGTGTATGTAAATCAAGCGGAGTCTAAAATACGCTAGCGAAATATTAGTGCTGATAATGGACTTCTGTTTTGTTCTTTTTTTTTTCTTTTGTCTTTAACTGACACGGAACTGGGAATTAAATAAAGTTCTAAAAAATCAAGTTGATGGAATCAAATAAATATCAGTTCTCAGAGGATAAAACTGTTTTTTGATTCTTTTTATTCTTCTTGCTGCTTTTATATTTGCGATGCTTTAAAAAAAGAATGTGTATATAGGAGGCAAACAAGTTGATCTGTTGAAAAATCTTGCCTTATGTAATTTTTTTCTTGCACTTTTATTTTAGTTATAGCCTACTTATCGTTCTGAGTTTGTTTTTTTCTTTTTTTCTAGTTTGCGCTTATTACGTATTTAGTAAGGCGAAACGGCTGGCGTGGGGTGTTTAGCGATACTTTTTGACTGGACTTGATCTTTTCGCTATCGAACAACGGCAGTCAAAAAGTGCTGTTGTTGAGACAAGGAACTGTTCCTGGTATGCAAACGCACAGACAGCTATAACCTAAAGGTTTTTGGTTTTTTTTGAAAAAAAGAAAAACATACCTGATCGTACGGATAATTTGAATCAAAAGAAAGGATAAAAAAGAGCAAAGTAGAGAAAAACATAATGAATGTGAATTGAAGAAAGAAAGAAATTAGAAGAGGGGTTTTCTTTTCTTCTTTTTTAAAAGCGATATTATTGATATTTAGCATCTAGATTGCACTTTCAGACTAGTAATAAGGTGCTTCTAAACGACGAATTTGCATAACACATGACGACGACAAGTCGCACGTACATTGACTCCATTCATCGCTCTGATCGTTTGTAGTCGACAGAACTCTTATACCATGCCAAAAAACAAATCATTTTTATTAATATACTGTTCTAAAAAAAATTCTTTTTTCTTTTTTTTTATCGCATACAGATAAAAAAGAAACTATTAATTTCTATGGAACTTTATCAAAATTTGAAAGTTCTTTTTTTTAATGGTCCTACTGAAAAGGAGTGAACTGTTTCACCATCTCTATTCATATCCCTATTCACTGATTTTGGCTCGTTTGTCAATTTGAACTGTTCGCAGCTTCAAATTTTTTATCATCTATCTATCCAATTATAGTTTTTTTGGTTTTCATTTTCCTTCATCTTCTCTAATTTTTCCCCCTCCTCCCTCGATCCATTTCTCAAATTGTGTGATTCCAACAGACTTTCCTCTATGAAGTTATTCGAAATTCTCCTTCGTTTTTCTGGTTCGTTCTTTGCTGCTTTGTTAAATGAAGACTGAATATATGAACAGATATATACAAAGATGCCTTTAATTTCTTCTCTTAAGTGCTTTAACCTAATTTCTTTGCAAATTTAGTCGCGAGTTTTTTTCTCCTTTGAATAACGCAATGAAATGACTGACTTTCTTTGCTAAACTTGGAAAAAGCTTTTCATCATTTAAGAACGGGAGATTGGAAATTGTTAAGCCGCCAAACTCATTCACTTCTTCTTAGTATTGGCAGGTTGGTGAAGCTCACTGAAAAAACAACACAGACGAGAAAAAAGTTAGTTCTATAATGTGAGTCTTTTTTTTTTGAAACTTTGAGATGTCGAAATGTTTTCCTCTCCACAATTATTCACTGTTTTATTGCAAATTTTTTTTTGCATTCCTTTTTGGCGGAATATTAGAAGTGATGTGTCTTCTATTTTAAACATGATTAACGATATCATCGGAAGAATTTACTGCCATTGGAATGATTGACAAAAACTTTAAGCTGTTTGTGCCGTTGGTGTGCTCGTTTAACCATGCCAATTACCTTAGTTTCTAGCACATTAGAAAAATTTTGTTGAACCTCCCCATTATCATTTTTCTAACTTCTGTTAAATTACAGCTGATTGTTTTTTCTGCAATCAAAGATCTAAAGTTTGCACATATGCTAAATATTAATGGCTGATCTCTGTGCTTGTAGAATGAATGCAATTTTTGATTAGGAGAAGTAAAAGCGTAAATGAAATAATTTTTTCTATTGCTGAAGCGACCGAGCCGATCACTTACTTCTTTGCTGTAACTTATGAGGAGGACATAGTGATGTCGAATATTGATGATGGCGATAACGATGATGATGATGATGACGATGATGTTGATGATGATGGTGGCGATGGTAACTGTCGGTATCTATCTATCTATCCTCCTCCCTGTCAAGCAACACGGCATAGCTTTACCATGCAGTGCACACTAGTCGAGGACAGACAGCCGGCAATACCTCTGTATATCGCATCGGGCGCATTGCTCTCTGTTGTCTATTTCTATGTACATATCTTCGTCGAAATTGGCCTCCGACATCGCTATCAACGGTGTTGTCATCATTGTTGCTGAGGCCACAGTTGTCGTTGTTGCTGCTGCTGGTCCTGCTGCGGCTGGTGCTGGTACTGGCGCTGTTATTGGTGGTGATGGTGTTGTTTTGGTTATATTGTTATAATGTTTGACTGACTATTCGATTGCGGTTTTAGTTTGGTTCAGTCCATCTGTGTATGAATTCGAAAGTTTGCATATGTATTCGTGGGGAGTGGTGTACCACTATATTCCCAACTGATCTTTGCTGTTTATGTAGACCAAAAAAAAAACCACTTAGCTGCAGCAGTCTGAGAGAAAAAAAGCTCCAGTAAGAAAAGAATGTAAATATATATTTGTGGTTATTTAATCTTTAAATATAATTTTGTTGATTTAGAATAAGAAAAAATCTTCTTTTATATCTAAACTTTTTTTTTGTTGTACAGAAAATTTTTGCTAGTTATTATATATTCTTTGGGCTTGGAACAGTAAACTGTTGTTGGTTTGGTTTAGTGTGGTTTTGGTTGAATTAATTTGCTTTTACTTATGGTTTGTTGACTTGAGTATTTGGCTGTGTATAGAACGTTGCATGCCGGTCGCTGCAATATTCAGGTTGCTGATCGATGGTAGGACAGCAGGAACCGAATGGATAGGACAAGCAACGGCACCAGCAGCAGCAGCAGCAGCTGAACTCCGAATGATTATTAACGAACGGTTTGGCAACGGTAATAGCGTTGTGTATACTAATTTTCAAAGGTTTACTCACCGTTACGTATGTATATACAGTCGACTGCTTGTCGTTTGGTGACTGCTTTTTTCTTCTTCTTTATGATAGATCAGTAAAGATCATTTGCAGTTGATCAACCAATTTTTTGCGTGTTTGCCTGATGGCTTGCTTGGCTGCTTAAATGTATTTACTGGACGCAGCATCTCAAAATGTGTTCACTGGAACTGCCGGACTGGAATCTTTTCAAACTGTTTTGCTTATGTCTATCAAATTTTTTGTATAATATATTTTTCAATTTTCTTATTTGCAATTTCTTTTCCGTCAGCAGTATATTCTTGTCTTTTTGGCCAACTACTGATGAACTTTTATTAATACAAAGTTTCCTCTCCTTTTTTTCAATGATTTTTTGTTTTCGATTTTTTTTTTGATGAGAATGACTTTGAAAGGCTCTACAACTATGCCTATAGAATATAGGTTTTTTGGCTTTGTTCTATTTTTTTGATTGAACCAAGAGGAGAAGAAGGAAACAAATTTAGTATTGCTGTTGTCTTTTAATTTTTTGTAGATCTTAACCACTACTTTTTTCTTTAAGAATTGCCAATATTACGGGTATCATTTGTGGGCAAAAATGAAAAAAAAATGAAAATTAAATATTTTTTTGGAATGTTTTTTTTTTGAACTTTTGCAACTTTTTTTGCTCCTTAACGGGGAGAAAAAGAGGCAGAAAGGAAGTAAAGAAGTTTTGCTGTTTTTTCTTTCTTTTATCTGTATTTAATTTTATGGCTTTAGTATTTCATTGATATGACAGCTTTTTTGAAACATATTCAACTTCTGTCTCCAATAAGTCGTACGTCATATATACATACATATACATTCTTCAGTTTTGTGCTAATGTAACGCAGTTCTGCTTGTTTCGTTCAATTAATTTTCGAATAACAACTTTTAATTTCGATATCTAATCTTTGTAAGTTTTTTTACGCTCTTGCAGGTTTTGAGTAATGAAATTTTGACGACGACTAATAAAATCAACAAAATTTTACATCTTATTTTCTGTGTTTTGTCGTCAGATATAGCAAAATTTGGAAGCAATATGAATAACCTGCTCAATCATCCAATGCGGTAATGTAGTAGCAATTACAACGGTAGGAGTAGCTATTAATATTTTTTATAGTAGTGGTTAGTCGGTCAATAAGCACCTTGATACTGACGGGTTTGGTGTCATTACTGACCTATCTTTCCTGCTTGATGAGATGAAATTAGTAACCACTTGGCGGTTGTAACCATTGGTTTTTGTTGTTTTAAGCAGTTTTTCCAATGATCGAAACATTTGTCGTTGCAGTTGATTGAAGCGACAACGAAGATTTTTAACGGCGAGCCTTCACATTGCCTTTCTTCTTTGAATTATTTGTTTTTTTTCTCTTCTTCTTTTAGCTTTTTGTCCTAGTTAGAAACGGGCTTTTCGAGGTCAATTGGAAAGGGGAGGTTAATGGTGATGTTTGATCAAATATTATTTCCAGTGCTACGGTGATGAACTTGATGCAAACGATGAATAATTGTTTTCTGGCATAGTTTATCATCGTTTTTCAAGGTCTTCTAGATTTTGTTTTGTTTTTTTTTAGTTCAAATTTTTTTGTTTACCTTCTACTAACAACAACTGTTCAAAAGTTGCTAATGAGTAAGAGTTGCGAACTTTATTGAAGATTTCAATGACTTAATATTGCGGATATGTCACTATGGTTATTTTAAAAGATTTTTAGGCGAATCTTCTTTCTTCTCCCGTTTTTTCAAACTATTCAGACCGCATTTAAAGAGATCATTAAAAACGACCAGTGAGAAGGCGGAAGTTCTTTTTTGCCACTCTATTTCGTCTATAATATTAACCTTAACAACATAATAAATAAACAAACAGCGGGTATTTTTCTTTTTTCGATAATTAAAGGGAGTAGCTGAGAGGTTAATCAGAAATTCTGGAATGTGTGTATTATACGGTGGGTGACTGATTGTAATAAGTCGGTGAATGTCAGTGAAACCGTTTGTTTGAAGCAACAGAACAGGATTAGAGATCAAATTAAATTTAAGTATGTAGAATAAAAAGAAAATGGGAAGTTTGCTGCTTGTTTTTTTTGTGCATTTTGGGAAATTAGTGGCATAACAATTTTTGTTTTTCAATAAATGTATTTGGACTAGAAGACCTGAAAGGTTATAAACTGAAAAAAAAAGAAAAAGTTGTGCAGTTTTAGCGATAATTTTGGTTAAGATGCTTTGGAGTTGGTGATGTGAAAGTGATGTGCTGATGAGGAGTTGTGGGTGGGATGAAGTGTGGTTGAACGAGGCAACAGATTTGCGAAGGAAGAGAAATAGGGGTTTGGCAGTGTGCACTGATTATGACTGATTAGGTTGCAGTTGGGAGAGGAGTAGTGGAATGGACGTAGAACTTATTAGATAGATAGGTTGCAAATGATCGAAAACAATTTAAGTGACTTTTTTTGCTGTTATCACTGTTGCCAGGGCTGCTGTTGCTTTTGCTGTTGCTTCAACTTTTACTGAAGCTGCTGCTGCTTTTATTACTGGTATTGCTGGTGCTAATGGTGTTGCTACTGATGCTGTTATAATTTTTTAATATTTGGTATGAAATATGCTGGGAAAAGTAGTAGTTTTTCTTTATAAAAATTCTTTTTTTTTTTGCCGTTTTTATTGTTACAGCTGCCAATTTACTAGGACCACCTTTTTCCTTCCAGTGAATTTTCTAATTAGTTAAAAGTCTAATTTTATTTAATTATTAATGCATCTTAACTTTATAGAAGTTTTATAGTGCTACTTTTTGATGCTTAGTTTCTTTTTATGTCGTATAGCAGGTTGGCTGCTTGTTTGCTGTTTACAGCAACATCAGTCCAACACTATTCCTCCTCGTTTTCCTCACCTTCTGTCCTCTTCGAAAGAAGAAGGAAAGGGAAGGGATCAAGGTAAATAGAACATTTTTGTGATCAAATTATTGTTTCATCAAATTGTTTGCTGTTTATGCGGCTATTGGAGGAGCCTTCACTTGATGCTCAGTTGGAATATCTGAATAAAAAGAGATGGCTTCTTGGGAAGGGAGACGAATGAGAAGACTGCTTATGACAAATTCCTTGTCATTAACCTTCTGTCGTTGTCCTTCTTTCCTTCTACCGTCTTCATTACTACCTTTCGTAACTGTAATTTAAAGCATGTTTTTTCGGCCTTTTTTATTCTGTCGACGTCGTCGTCAAATTCATTTTTTAAATTATTCATTTATCGCCATCGTCTTTTTCATTTTCTCATAAATAGTT